TGGTTTGCCACTTGCATAACGACTAGCTAGAGTAGCAAGGGTCGCCACCACCTAGGCGAGGTGTCACACCTATCAGATATGATTACCGGACCATAGGTGGAATTTAATTTTAAGTTAATTAAAAGTATAATCTAAGTTAATATGTCGTTATATGTATAAATTACTATAATGCCTCGTGGTTTATAGAACACAATTATGACAATCAAAGTTGTATGTGGTTGATATGTAAAACATACCGTAGCCCGTGTCTAGATTAAGGAATAGGAATGAAATACACGCGAGTAATTAAGTTACTCGCGCAATAAAATAAATATTACAGTTGAAATTAATAAGGAAATTTAATTTAATTGTTAAAAAAAAAAGAAAATTAAGTTAAACATGGACAAAAATGCGAATGCATCAAAAACCATGTCGGACGGTATTGGAACACAACCGTTAATATTAATCGGAAATTAATGAAGAACACCAGGAGCGGTCTGGACACTCGCTCCTTAGCGTTGGCTACAAGAAAAGGGAAACACATGCTCTCCACACATAAACAAAATTAAGTTAATTTACAATAAAATAATTAATAAAATATAGCTCATTACATAAATATAATATAAAAAAGAAAACGATACCCGGTCTCCGAAGAGACCCATCCGATGGTCTGGATACTTTGCCGAAAATATCTGGCCGTTCGCCGTTGGCGGTTCTACTCCATCATTGAAAAATATGTCAATAAAACAACAAATGTGTGCACCCTAGCACGGTCAATGACAGAAGAAAGAGTCGAGAAGAGTCAACACCGATCTAACGGCAATTTCATATCGATAACNAGTCGAGAAGAGTCAACACCGATCTAACGGCAATTTCATATCGATAACGGCCAGTCTTTTTGGAAGTAATCAATACTGATAAACAATTCGATTTTAATTATATTTCTCTTTTATCGCCTTATCTAGCGGTCAGAGGCAAAATAATGAGTAGTTGACACCGCTGTGTCAGAAAAAGGTTCTTTCGCGCGATAAAATAAATAAGTAGACATAACAAAAAATCATAAACGGTCCACCTTCAAATTTGTGACGTTAGGTTTTTTATTTTAAAATCTACATTAAGAATAGTTGTCAGGAAATTTTTTTAAATTAAAAAAAAATCATTTCAAATAATAATTAAAAAATGTATTATTTATTATAAAATTTTTGAAGTCACAATGTATAACAGTTAAAAAAAAAGTAACTCCAAATATTGACTGGATAAAAAGTTAATAGTTGTTAGAACACTTATATATCGTCGGCATGGTGTGGAAACTCATTAACAAATTTTTGTAATTTTGCCGTTTTCTTAATTATTTAAATTTCATTGAGTAAGCTAGTTGACATCCTTGAATGATATAACTTATAAAAGGAATAATCCTTAAAACTAGTTAAAAATTAATAAATTAAGAAATTATGTAACAAAAAAAAATTCAAATATTTATAATCAACATTATTTGTATTTTAAAAGTAAATAAGTTGTTTATGATAAACGATTCACATTGTATATATTTCTAAAGCATTCTCATTAGAAGTTGTAAAGCAATATCAACAGTTCTCCATTAATCAGCTACATCTTCAACTATAAAAAAATGTGTTCCTTCATCATATAAATAAATACATTTTTCTTCATGTATTTTAGAAAAATTTTCTTTATGAAATTCTATTGGTAAGTATAACCATTTCCCCATTGCTTTTACATATATATAAATGCATGTTTCAATAACAAAACTTGTAGCTAACATTTTGACTGTATCTACGTAAAATAAAAATAATATATATTATTTTTATTATTATAATTGGGGAAATTCATTGGTTTTAGTGAATTTACAAAATTGTAGACTTTTTGTACATAATAGTGGACTTGGGCATGATTATTACTAGCTACAAAAGTATGTTTTAGCAAGACTTTCTTAAGTAAGTCAACTTAACTTCTATATTAATGTTTAAAAAATTATCAGGCTTCTTTTAAGTACTATGCATCAATTTAAAATCAAATTTTTGCTGAGATTAAAATTATATCGGGATTCTAATTATAAAATTAGTTCTTGTACCCCATCGACTCGGGATTGATTCTCATGTACCCTCTAAATTTGTTGCACCATTTCTATGAACTCTTTTTAAAAAAATTCTCCTTCTTTTTCCCCACCTTAATCCCAACTACTTGGGTCGGCCACCTTTATCCTAAACTTCCACTTAACATAATCACCTACATCATCTACGCTCACATCAGCTGTCCTCATATCGCATTTAATAGTATTCCACCATTTTTTTTTTTTTTTTGGTTTTCCTCTGCCTTATTTTCTTTCAATATTTTTTCTATAACTGTTCTTACAGCTTCCGATACTTTTCTCCTCATAAAATGACCAAACCATCGAAGTCTATTTTCTCTCATCTTATCCACGATTGACGCTACATCTATACTTCCTTTTATATGCTCGTTCCTTATTCTATCTTCTCTAGTCACTCAACTCATCCATCTAAGCATTCTCATCTCTGTTACACTCATTCTCTGCTCTACTTTCTTATCAACCGCCCAACTCTTTGAACCATACACCATAGCTGATATCACTGCAGTCTTGTAGAATTTACCTTTCAGTCTCATTGGAATTATTTTATCGCATTATTAAAACCCGTGTCTTACATCCTCGTCAATACCACCGCTCTTTGGAACAACTGATCCTATATACTTAAAACTTTCCAACTCTCCAATCACGTCCTCGCCTATTGTCACTGATTTCTGTTTTTAATTACTGTTAGTATTTTTATTGATCAGTTCACAGAAATGTTGCAACAAGTTTTGAGGCTATGTGCGAATCAATCGCTAGAGGACAACCTACATGGACTAATGACTTACAAGTAATCTGTCAGCATTTATATTTTTCTAAAAAGTCAACACAGAAGTTAGCTACTTAAGAAATTCTTGTTATAATATACTCTTATAAAACTGNACTCTTGTTATAATATACTCTTATAAAACTGAGAAATAGTAATATCCAAGTATATTAAAGATATTACGTAAGCATAGTTAAAACGTTGTATGTTTGATTATATCTAAAAAAATAGCGATAGAAAAAATATTTAATTTTCTATTAAATAAATATTTTCTTTTTCAATATTAAAATAAATTAAAAGAATACCAGTATTTTTAGTACCCGTTCTGAAATATTCATTTACGCTGAATTCATCTCCTAGGAGTTTAATAACATAATTGGTGTTAATTATAGTCTGTAACATAAATTTAAAAATTAATGAAAATAAGTACACATTGTGATTTTCACCGGCTTCTGGCCGTAAGGCTTTCACTAATGAAGGTACATAAACCAAACAAAGTTGGATCTACACTAGCCAAGGTTCTACCAAACCGAAGCATGGTGGAATTTCAAATGTAAATGACACATCTATTGTTCAATTTACTAAGTTTTTACCTTAAATTTAGAGGAAAAGAAGTTAAAAGACTGGTAAACTAGTATTATGGGCGGTGATANCTAAGTTTTTACCTTAAATTTAGAGGAAAAGAAGTTAAAAGACTGGTAAACTAGTATTATGGGCGGTGATATTCTATTTTATACAAATTAACTGATTACAAATTTAAATTTAAATCAAATGATTATACCCGATTATAACCGATGTACAATAAAATAATGTCATTTACAAATTATAAATGTTCAAATAAATTAAAGATTACAGATTTTGCTATATAATATATTTCAAGTCTTGTTCAAAACTATTACAAATTATTAACATAATTAAATAAAATAAGAAAAAAATAGGTGTGAGTAAGAAAAAATACCTTTTGGCACTGCCGCATTTGCTATTTATGATTGGATCAAAGGTTAGGAGAGTATTTAGTAGTATTTACTATAATAAAATGGTTATCTTTACAATTACGTTCAAAAGAGCAACTTGACATCGGTCAATATAGATGTAGGCCTTTTATACCGAGCTTTGAGGCTGCTAAGCACATCTACATTGGTCAATACATGCGTGGTTTTTTGACAATCGACATGACAAAATATTTAATATACGAATGTACAAAAAATAATATTTTACAGTAAACAATTTACAATATATTATTGTCATTAAACATCATGTTCAAAGAAAAATTATGGCAGTTTTAAGTAAAAAAAACCCAGCACAGGGCGGTCGCGGCACAGTGGTGACGTGGCATAGATGGATCAAGTATAATAATATCTGACAGGGATTAAAATCACTAAAAAAAAAAAAACACTTCGATGCAAATCTTTAGATAGTGTTTAATTTTAAAAAATTGGTGGATTATTCCAAAAGCTTCATGATCTGCTAGTTCATTATTAATATCCTAATTAAGATAAAGTATGTCGAATGAAAAAGGGATTATTAAAAAATATTATTTCTCATAAAAAAATTATGTTGATCCATACACTTTTCAATATGTCATAACATTATAAAGTTAAAAATGTAAAAATAAAATCGAGAATTTTCACACAATAATAGCATTTGGTAACCATTTTCACCGTGAAGATAAAATAAAGTCTGAAATTTTTTTTTCGCATAATAAAGTAAAATACTTTTCATCTTTCAAAAAGTTATAGCATTATAAAGTTAAAAATATAAAAAAGAATTTTTTTACAAAAATCGTATTTTTTTTATAAACTTTGATGTCTGTTTTCACCATGAAGATAAAATAAAGTCCGACATTTTTTTTTACAATAATAAACTATATTACATTAGCTTTAATTTAAGATATATATAAAAGTGTCAGACTTTCCGGAACACTTTCAAAATTTAAGTTGAAAAAGTCAATTTTTTGTGAAAAAGTTGTCATTTTGAATCCCCCCCTGTAGGCAGGTAAAAAGTCAGATTTATAAAAAAAATATACCAAATGATAGGTAAAGACATCATGCATCTACAAAAAAAAGAATTATATTGATCCATACATCTTTCGAGAAGTTATAGCATTATAAAGTTAAAAATATAAAAAAGAATTTTTTTACAAAAATCGTATTTTTTTTATTAAGTTTAATGTCTGTTTTCACCATGAAGATAAAATAAAGTCCGAAATTTTTTTTTACCATTATAAAGTATATTACATTAGCTTTAATTTAAGATATATATAAAAGTGTCAGACCTTCCGGAACACTTTCAAAAGTTACGTTGAAAAAGTTCTACTTTCTATATGCATTTTTATGTTTTGAATCCCCACTGTATTTAAGGAAATGGTCCGATTTAAAAAAACAGTATGTCGAATGAAAGATCTATATAAATACTACTTCTCATGCAAAAATTGTACCGATCCATACATTTTTCAAAAAGTTATAGCATAATAAAGTTAAAAATGTAAAATACAAAATCGAAAATTTTCACACAAAAATAG